TCACTATCATAAGTACTGGGATACCTGTGCGTCACTATCATAAGTACTGGAATACTTGTGCGTCACTATCATAAGTACTGGGATACATGTGCATCACTATCATAAGTACTGGGATACCTGTGCATCACTATCATCAGAACCAAGAGCAGCAGCGCCTAACTTGACATGATCAGCCAGTCTCGAAACACTGCCAAGAGATGACTCAGCTGCCGTAGCTAGTACATCCTGAGTAGCTTGAGCAGCAGCAACCAGCTTCTTGGTGTCTTCTACTAATACCTTTGCATTCTTGAGGATATCCTCTCTGAAAACCATGAATTATTAATAATATTTAATATAAAAAAGTTGTCTGCCTTTAATACACCCCTTTAACCACAGGTTAAGAAGTCATTATGTCAGAAAATGGCTAAGTAACTAAGATGGTGATGTGTCTGGCAATAGAGCAGTTTTCGTATGACTGTGAAAAGCTCACGGCACGAACACGGTCGTGACACGGCAAGGCATGCCCCAGACCAATCACATTGCACGAGAATTTACTCTCCATCCAATCAAATACCCGCAACATAGAACAAAGACGGCGTGGACAAAGTCACGCCATTGACACGGCACTGTCAGACCAATCACATTGAACGAGAAAAAAAACAGCCAATCAAAACTCTAGAAAACATCACGGTCACGGCAAGGCACGCATATACGGCATGAACTTTTTTACAGTCATAGGAAACCTGTTCTATCTGTATATGGAGACTTTGCACCATCTTAAGTGATGGCAGCCTTGACCGGAGGCAGAAACAAATGAGTCTTTTCCCCCAGGGAAACTAAATATTTATTATAGTTTTAATCCAGAAAATAGGAATGCAAACGGCATCACAGACCAAGCATTTTGATTTGCTGTTACGTTTCTTGCTACATGATTGGCTAAAATGTCTACCACAGAGAGCCCAATTTATTATTTTACCTGTGATCAGAGAAGGAGTCATTTGTACTTTCAGGATTCATCGTGCCTGCTGTAGCGAACATGACTGTCGTGTCGAGGTCATTGACAATACCATTAATGGCGGCACCTGCGTTGATACATGCCTGGGTACCACGGGACCCTGCCATGAGGGCAGCCAGAAGATGTGACACCTATAAAATAAGACCATGTGTCATTCTCTTGAATGTTATTTCTTTATTTACTAGGAATGCTTTTCAGCTATGGTGCAATGTTTTCCCATTTCAGACCATGTGTCATTCCCTAGAGTATTATCACTTTTTTAATCAATGTCCTGGAAAAGCACATTTCCACCAAAAATTCAAATAATCCCAAAACTACTCCCACTCTTAATACTAAAAACAGATTTTGATTGGTTTGATGCGATGCGATGTTGAATAAATGTTTTACCTTTTCAGAGACATGTCTGCTATTGTCAGTGAGCTCCTTTTTGGAGTAAGGATCGTTAGGTCTGTTTTGTACAGCACCAGCACTTTGAACTAGAGCGATACATGACTCACCAAGACCCTGAACGTTATGCCTGACGCGCTGAGCAACCTGGAAAAATACATGGAAAATGTTGATTGTAGTAATGATGATGATAATGATGATGGTAATGATGATGAAGATGAAGATGATGGTGGTAATGATGATGATGATGATGAAGATGATGGTGATGATAATGATGATGATGAAGATGATGATGATGTTGGTAATGATGGTGATGATGAAGATGAGGATGATGATGATTATGGAGATGATGGTGATGATAATGATGAGGATGATGACACATGATGGAGATGATGATAGTAATGATGATGAAGATGATGATAGTGATAATGATGATGGTGAAGATGATGGTAATGATAATGATTTTAAATGATGATGAAGATGAAGATGGTGATGATGGTGTTCATGATGATGATACTGATGATGATTGTGATGGTAGTGATGATGATGATGGTCATACATGATGATGATGATGATGTTGATGATGGAGATGGTGACTCATCATGATGTGTTACAAAGTGAGGTGATGGTGGTGATGGTCATAAATGTGGTGGTGATGATGATGCATAATGATGATGATGATAGAGATAACGATGATGTATGATGTTGATGAACGACGGTGGTGATTAATGTGATGAATATAATATTGATGACAATGGATTGGTAATAGTGATAATGATGACGATTCATTCACCTCTTGGTTACCAATAGTAGCGACAGCACCTTTAGATTTCTTCGCGATTTCATCATACAAATTACTAATATCTTTGGCAAGAGGTCCCAGTTTAGTTGGGTCTGAATTGGTCTTGCCAACCTTAAATACAAATGTAAAGACCTTACTATGCGTGAAACTAATAGAAAACACTAGATGGTTCTAGAAAGTACAAGAATGTGCATGCTAGAGAAGACAATGTAATAACGACAATCCTTGTTGTAATGCCTCTTCATCAAAATTCAACACCAAAATGGCAAATAAGGTTTTGCACCATCACGTGATGGCAGCCATGTTAGATGGCAGGAACAATACAATCGTTTAACAGGCACCTGACCATATACCCCAGTCCTAAAATACAGTCCCACAATCCACTGCACCACAGAGTAGTTCCCAGTCTCTCACCATATCCTGTGCTTTTCTCGTCAGTTCTTTCATTGCTTTAGTCATGCATTCTTGGTAATAAACAAAAGGTTGATCGGCCTCCCTTATACGAGCATCAACAGCATCCATCAGAGGACTATCGATCTGTCAATCAAAGTTAATCATGTGATATAAATAACCACGAGGAAATATTTTATAAGGCTATAAATAACCAAGTTAACCACAATGCACCTGGATTGTAACATTTCCAAGGTAATCTACGTGTAGTGTTTACATGCTTCTCTTGATTATGATGACAGACAATATGGGCGTTTTCATTTCAGACCCCATACCACTATCTTAAGTATTATTCTTTTCTCTACGTCCAATTAACCTAAGAGGTTAATTGAGTTCCCAAAAGAGCTGTAATCAATCTTGAATGAAAACGCCCAATAAGGAGGTATTACGGGGGTGGTGGTGGGGAGAGGCGTTGTCTACTTACACTAGTAAGAGTCTTGCTAATACTGTCCACCAGACCTGATACCACACCAGATTCACTGGCTTCTTCTTCTACTGTGTTCTTCAAGTCTTCGATTGCATCTTTCATGTTTTCTGCTGCTTCGTCAATGGCTGGATGAGCCTGGGTATTCTGTTGAAGGAAAACAAGGAAGATGTGCATTGTTCTATACCTGTCTGACCGTCCGACTGATCGACCGACCGACTGGCCGACTGACTGACCGACAGACCAACCGACTGACTGACCTCTGACCTAGAAATGGACTGACTGAATGACCGACCGACCGACCACTGACCTAAAGATGGACTGACTGACTGACCGACCGACTGACTGACCGACCGACCGACCGACCAACCACCACTGACCTAGAGATGGACTGAGTGACTGATTGACTGACTGACCCATCGATTAAGTTAAAGTAGGCCATATAATGATTTTGGCGGAACAAAAATTCTCTTGTATCAAATACCTTGGGATTGCCTCCCCCAGACTTGGCAGAGTACATCATCTGCGCAGCGCACTCCGCTACTGTCTTGGTCTGGTCCAGTAAATCTGCCTTTCGTTTGTTGTTACTCATGAGGGATGCTGCACCAATGGTAGCGTCACACAACGGCACCAAGAAATCTGTCATCTTGGCAACCTTATATGAAAACACATATAGCGTTACTCTTAAATAACAATTAATCATTAATTTATTAACAATTGAAAGTAATCGTTTTTGTCTAGAGAGGTAGACATGTGACAGTTGCCAACTTAGTACTAGTAAACTTGTAACCCTTCTTGGATAATATCTTTGAATGGGAGGGGTCTGCCATTTTATGCGGTCATCTGAGTCATGGCTAATATCTTACCATTTACAGAAATTTTAAGAACAAAGGCAGATATTTTAAGATTTTTTAAGAGCAAGGGTAGATACTTTACTCAGATATCTTAAGCCCCTGATTGTTGGTCTCGCTGAGGCTAGAATCCACGCACAACAGGCCGGTGCCCAACCAACCCAGCCCAACCAACCATCTCTTTAGCCATTACAACAAAAACCCTTCAAGTTTATCAATAGTTTGAAACATCAGAGCGCTGATCAAAGACAAGGAACGATGCACAACAGTGTTTTATCAATCTTCACGGGCGGATCCAGCCAAAACTTTAGGGGGGGAGGCTAATTGAGTTTAGGGGGAGGCTAATTGAGTTTCTTCCGTCAACACAACGGAAAACCATTAAAAAAGCATCTAATTCTTCAGTTTTGTTTTGTTTTTCTTCTCTGCTGAAGGGGGCAGGGGGCTTCAGGCCCCCTCCCTCCCCCCCCCTGGATCCGCCCTTGACCTTTCAGGCAGATACAATCCAATTATAACCATCTTCTAAAAACACCAGTTATTGAGAGAATTCAATTCACAATTTCTGGTTACAATACCTCATGTCCAATATTCTCTGGTTCTGTCTTAGCAGCCACAGCAAGTGGATCAACGTTGCTGCTGATCTGAATCAGATTCTGCTGCAACTTCTCTTGGTATCCCTGTGGTAAATAGACAAATCATGTCGGTACAAAACTTTAAACTAGGTTTGCAAAGGATGATGGGCAAATCAAATCTTGTCATTACCCGTAAGGTATTGTCAGTTCTTGGTTCCAGTCCTTCACTGATACTAGCGAGGGCTGCCTGGTCAAGATCGTTGATCACATGATTGATTTTATCAAGGGCCTCGTCACATTCTCTCTGACCAGGAGCGTTATCTCTGGAATAAGATAAAGAAAACGTTATTAACAATTTGTATGACATGTCACGCAACAGCAAATGTGGTCACGTTGAGTATGTGAACAGCTCTTGACACAGACACAGTCGTTACAAGGCAAGGCATACGCCAAACCAATCACAGTGTGCGAGAATTTACTTTGGATCCAATCAAATGCCCGTAACACGGCGTCAACACGACATTGCCAGACCAATCACATTGCGCGAGAAGACAATCAACCAATCAAATTCTAGAAAACATCACGGCACGGCACGACAAGTATAGGGCGCTGAGCATTTCAGTTATATGAAAACTGCTCTATTAGGCTTTTTATAAATCTTCCTATCGCAGGTATTCTACAACGTTTTTTTAGAAACTACAAAACCAAGGATTGGGTATTCTGTGGCTGGACTTACTTAATGGCTGTAATAAGCCTCTTCATGGCTTCAGCCACACCCTTCGCAGACTGTTGCATCTGATACATTGCTTGTTGGTCTGATGGATTGACCACACCTATCTTGGCTGCATTGAAGTAGTTGGTGCCTGTGGTAGCGACTGATTTACCTGCCATTATCACGGGCACCTGGGCCGAGCGGGCCTGAAAGAGACAGAAAATTCGGCTCAATGTATTACCATTGCTCAAGATGCCTAAGGCGCACTTACGAACGCAAAAACTTTGGTTATATTGCCCAAAGATTCTCAAATAAAGACCAGCATGTTTACAAATTTTAAGGCTTGCTTAACAAGGGAAAGGATTGTGGAATATCTATTGTTATGTTAGAGATGAGGCGGTAAGCCTCACTAGATACACCGTGCTGACGAGGCCCAATACAGGCCAAAACAGCTGTCCACGGTTTTTAGTTGAGCTGGCTCATTTTTTACGCGACTTGAAGTTGTGAAAGGCTTGTATGGCACTCTTCTTCAGTCGTTTCATACAAGGCTCGTAATTTACCTAGTACGCATGTTCTTATATGATTTCCGAGCCCATCCCACACGGCTTACCGCCTCATCTCTCATGTACTACTTTTTCGTGGGATTCTACTAGCTCACTAAATACACGGTGCTGAGGAGGCCCACTACAGGCCGTAACAGCTGTCCACGGTTTCTAGTTGAGCTGGCTCATTTTTTACTCATGTTTAACTTCCTGCACTGAGAGCACTGAGTAGAAGTAAAATGAAGGAAGGGAAAGCCCCAATGCCTCCCAACCTTTAAATCAAGAAAGGCCTGGTACTGAGTATTGTAGATTACCTCATTGCTAATTTTAGCAGGAACAGAAGCGAATTCTGGAGATAGAGCATAAGCTGTTAGACTGTGAACACTGTTCCTCAGGGGTTTGGTAGCATCTGCGCAATGCAGTCGGTTATCTTCATTCATGTTACCAGCAAAAGTCTAAAACAACAACAAAAAAAGAAGATATAACTAGCTAAAAACTAGTGTGAGCTGCGTCGGTGTTCCTAATGAAACAGTAATGATAAAAAGGTAAATTGTACGCCGTGAAAAGATGAAAAAACGAAAAAAAGAGACGAGAGTAAGAAAAATCTCATTATACAATAGCTTACGAATTTCTCACACGCTAATTGGTTATTTTTTTATCATCAATAAAAGGACAGACAGATAAAGCTGGAAGGTGGGTTTTGGCTATTTACTTTCCATGGGCTGCCTGTGGTCTTACCTTAATATTCTTCACGAGGTTAGCGGTATTGTTAGCCACGTCTTTTGCCGATTGAACAAACTGTCTTTTAGCAGCAGGATTTACTGTCTTTGCTGATGCTGTTTTACAAGCATTACAGAGAGCAGACGTGTGCTTGGCTACCGATGTTGCTGCTGCTAGTACCTAGAAAATTTGTATCATAATATTAACCAATCATATTGCGACATTTAGTTCAATATTTTGAACCGGCCAATCAGATAGCACATCGATATAATAAGAGCGTGAGAACGTAATAATCTGATTGGCTAAGGCCTAGGGCAAACGTCGAACTTTCCATGCACCGAACTTAATTACATCAAAGAATGCCGCCTCATTATCACCTGATATCCATTGTTTTTAATGAGTTCGGTGCATGGAAAGTTCGACGTTTGCCCTAGGCCTTACACTGTTATCGGTTCAATCTCTGTCTAGTTTATTGTTATCTGATTGGTCAGTTTTATAAAAGAGGTCCCGGTTAGTGTATCTGCACAGTAATAATAGCTAGCTTTTCTTGTTATGTGTTTGCTCAGGGGAAGATCACTTCCATTTTGCGCTCAAGCTCGAAGCATGTTTTGTCTGGTTTTCGTGTCACGTTTGACCAATGAAATCGCGACATATGGAGCACAAATGAACAAGGTTTGTGGCAACATGATTCCATTGGTCAGATAAAACAAAAAATCAAACTAAACCTTTGTTTGAAAACTTAGACTACAAGATAAATCGATCAAGCTTCAAGATTAAATGGAAATGGTAGTTCTAGGGGAGGCCATCTTATAACTTTTTGCATGATCCCATCAGATTTCAAGCTAGGCTAAAAATAACTCATACGCTGATTGGTTGGTGGGTCTGACGTCATTTTTGGAAAATACTGCTTTTTTTTCTAGGCATCATTCAATCAATTCTGGCTTCAAAGTTTAGTTTTTATGGACAACTTTATGAATTTTAAACGAGGCTTCTTGTGGTTTCATTAAGGGTTTCTCACTTTTTGTTGGCTTGAATCAGGGTCCAGCAAGCTACCGCAAGCATCGTTGATTTCTTGTTTGGCTTTGATAAACTTCTCTTGATCAATGAGACCTGGTCTCCCAGCAACACTAGATGGATCGGCTACTGCTACAAGGTATGCAGCCTAGAAGAAAGGGAAAAAATGATGCTTATTAACTTTTTGATTTAACTCAGTATCTCCTTGATTAATGATTATGAGAAGAGACGATTTGTGCAAGATAGGAAGTATAAGAAACATTAATAGAGAACTCACATTGCTAGTGAACCTGAAGAAAGATGATGATATAAAATGATGATGATACAAGATGATGGTGTTGGTGGTGATAATTATACTTGATGGTGATGATGGTGATGGTGATACATTATGATAATGATGATGGTGATGATGATACATGATGATGATGATACATGATGATGATGATACATGATGATGATGATGGTGATGATGATGATGATGACAATGATGATGATGATAATGATGATGATGATAATGATGATGATAGTGATGATGGTGATGATGATAATGACAATGATGACGATGATGACAATAATGACAATGATGGTGATGATGATGGTGATGATGATAATGATGGTGATGACAATGATGACAATGATGGTGACGATGATGGTGATGGTAATGATGGTGATGATGATGACAACAATGATGATGACGATGATGATGATGGTGGTGACGGTGATGATTATCATTATTACCTGTGCAGCAGACTCAGTTAAGGCACAAACAGCATCAGATGCTCTTCTCACAGTTTTATCAAACTTGTTGTAATCAGCTGATTTGATGCTGTCAGATATTACTGGAATAGCCTCGGCTAGATCCTGAGACAGACGGAAATAAGTGGTTAGACAGAGAGTCAGACGTTAAATGTTAGACAGATGGATAGAGACTGGGTGTGGTCAGACAGGCAGACACATCACATCTTGTAGTAAGGATTTCCTACAAGAGAATAACTCCTTACGATAACTACTTATGGACGACTTTACATACTTTCCTTTTCATACATAACTCAAGAAGAGCAACAACGTCCGCGATTTATAGACTCCTTGCATGTTACATCAAAGCAGCTCAACTTGCAAGACAAAACAAAAGAATTTCAATCTCCTGAGAATTGGAAACCTTTTTTTATGTCCCCCAAATTGAGCTGCATTACGACATGCTGCAAGGAGTCTATATGAACACACACAAAACCTGCTCTGTGTGGCTTACATAGCTCAGTTGGTAAAGCATCGTGGATTTGAATGTCGTTCTAAGCCTGAATTTTTTCCGGCGTTTTTAGTAGTACTTATTGTTCAATCTGATTCATATATATATATTCATATATCCCTACAGACATCTACGCAAGGAAATGAGTTTAACTCCCCATCAGACTTAAACATCTTACTCCCTGCCCCCCAAAACACATGCCTACTGCCGATTCTAGGGAAATACACAGGGATCCCACGTCTTCTTGCCTTACCTTTGTATCTTTGGACACATGGTCCAAGCAGTCAAAATAGGTGTCGTCATTAACCGGTTCAACAGGATTGTCAAGTATATTGTTCATGGCCTGGAACAAAAAAAAACACAAAAATGTCAATTATTTAATACCTGTCGTGACGCAGTTGGTAGGTCTCGACATATGATAGGTGACTGTCCTAACATGTTGAGAAGTGGTAAGAACCTTGTGTAGCTTCCTCAGCTGCTGTAAATACCTGTCATTGCTTATCGTTTAATGAACGATTTAAGTCCAGTGGCGGATCCAGGATTTTTCAAAGGGGGATTCCGTTTCTTAAACTGTGTATAATTCTCTTTTGTTTAGTCGATGTTTGACAAAAAAATTGGCTCTAATCACCTAATTTACTATCTAGTAACAGACCAAGCTATGATAACACGACCCAACACAAAACTACTAATATTTTTTGTATTAAAATTTATATAAGACATATTTCTATTACCTAAAAGATCAAACCTTCAAGGGGGGTTCCGTGGACCCCTTCGAACCCCCCCTGGATCCGCCACTGAAATCCCATATTTACAACCCCAACTCCCCATACGGGGCTCTTCCATGAAGTTTGCTCCTCACAAACTGCCACTACATTATATTTGCAGCACACGTCACTAAACTCACACGTTGGTTTTTGGTCGTTAGTGTTCATTACTTGTTCGCTATTTGGTCACTACTTGTCTTTCTATAGTTAGTTTATGTCGTTACTTACCTGTATGTTCCGTACAGCGTTATCACATTCCTTCTGTCCTGGAGCGGCAGACATACATGCGTTCAGTAGCATGTTAATACTATCAGTAACTCCTCTATAAAGGAAATGAGTATCTATACAGTTATGATAAAGTATAATATTCTCGCAACGAGGAAATGAGTATTATATAAGAGTAATATTTTTAGGCCAAAGAAATAATACTCAAGGGAATGACTTGTGATTTGTATTGGTAAGATGCAGTAGATCTCCTCACATTGGAAGTTATGTTTTCCATTTCAGACCATGCATCATTTCTTGTAGAACAAGATTTTTTATTTGCATTGTATCCATATTCATGTGTCTTCTCGTGCACAACCATTAAACAAAGAAATGATACTCTAGGGAATAACACGTGGTCTTAAATGGGAAAACATTATGTCCAAAAAAAGGTAAAACGTAAAASGTAAGTGGTTGCCCAATTCTCCTGAGCCAAGGGCTCAAGTTTAATGCATTCGAAGGTACGCCCTCTACCCCCTCTAACTATCAGTGCTCGAAAGTCGAAAAAGACGTGGAGTTCCTGAGAATCGAACTATGGACCTCTAGCTCCGAGGGCCACGCACTAACCAAGGTTTCCAAGCTAAAAAGGTCTATCTCTAGAATTTTCCAGTGTCCACCAAAATAATTTGAAACTTAAGTATTTGTGTTTAATATATATTACCGAGCAGCATTGGCCAATGCGTTCTTAGCGTTGGGTGCGTTAGGATCAGTAACCAATGATTTGGCAGCGAGTAGAAGTTTACTGGAAGCAGTTGAAGTGTTCTTCAGGTTACGGACCATGGTGCCCTTGGCAGCGTCATCCTGTGAAACAAGAATAAATGTACGAATGAATAAATGAACGAATGAACGAATAAATGAATAAATAAAAATGGGAAAATGAGAACAGAAAACACAAACTCACCGGCGCCTGCCCAGCGAGGGTCATACCGCTGTCCACCAAGTCCTGATAAGATACAGAGAACTTCTTGGTGGAGGTAGCAAGCTGATTGGGTGAACCACGTGACGCAGTAACGACTTCACCGGCGGCGGCATTAAGTGCGGCTCCAGTTTGACTGACACGTTCTTGTACTTGATGGTAAGGCTTGTTGGTCTTGGGGAACTGCATAGAGAACACATAGGAATCAAGGTTAGAGTAGCATTACTGCACTCACCTCTCACCTCTGGGGTCATGGGTTACCTCCTAGACTCAACATCACATGTGAGTTTGCTGGGTCTCTCAACTGATTCGGGGTTTTTTCCCAATTTCTCCTAACAAGCTAACAAGCTAAATTCCAATTCCATCTGTGATCTGTGTCGAGCTGTGCCCTGACTTTGATCAGCTCAAAGGTTGTTTCAGGGTTTAAAAAAAGGAAAAGGCTTGAAGGTATTGCTCTGTCTCATTTTTATGAGTGCTACGGGTCTGAGTACCACGGGTTAGAGTACCACGGGTTAGAGTACCAGGGGTTAGAGTACAACGGGTTAGAGTACCACGGGTCTGAGTACCACGGGTTAGAGTACCACGGGATAGAGTACCACGGGATAGAGTACCACGGGTTAGAGTACCACAGGTTAGAGTACCACGGGTTAGAGTACCACGGGTTAGAGTACCAGGGGTTAGAGTACCATGGGTTAGAGTACCACGGGTTAGAGTACCACGGGTTAGAGTACCACGGGATAGAGTACCACGGGTTAGAGTACCAC